ATACTTACAACTTTTTTTTTACAACCTCTTACAACCATATCTTAACACCGTTGATTTCCGCCAATCAACGATTATGATTTTCGTAGATTAAACTCATTAATTAATTATTAATTCACAATAAATGATAACATTTGATTGGCAGAAATCAACAGTGTTAATATATGGTTGTAAGAGATTGTAAAAAAAAAGGTTGTAAGTATAACCTTTCTCAAAATATAAATATCAAAGATTCAAAATATACTTAACATAATTCAACCAATTATATCCACAAGTCAATATTTCACAAGTTAATCAAACTATCAAATAAAACACATATTTCAATTGAGTTAATGAAAAGTTATATCATCAAACTCAGGCCTTGTTTCTCCTTCTCATGTAACTACAACAACATGTGAAAGGAGATCCCTTACCCAAGAGAGAATGGTAGAGGAGAGGTGGTGTAGCGACGAATCAACGATGAGGAGAGAAGAACAACATGGCGAAGGAGAGGGGGAGAAAAGAATGAAGAGGATAGGAGGAACCACCACCACAACGGAGGAGAGACGGAGGAGATCACTGGATCAGAGAGACTGTCTAGGTCTGAGAGAGAAAAGAAGAAGAATAAGAAGAACAATTCCAATTTCAGATCTAGTTCTAGATCTAGGCAATAACGAGTTTTTGTTTTGTTTTGTTTTTTGTTCTTTTTACACAGCAAACGTTTTGTGTGTACATTTTTTTTAAATGCAGTGATCCTCTCTGACTCGGGAGTTAGGGGTTCAATAAGGGGTTTCGAGGGTCAGAGGGCTCAAAGTGCATGCAGGGTTTAACTGTTGACCCCAACCCTCAGAGAGAGGGGTAAGTGACCTGGTGGGGTCGACCCCGAGATGAGGCGGGATTTTAAAACATTGTATCCAAGAAGGGATGTTGCCGCATCAAACACAAGAAATCGAGGACGTCCATCATTCCTCGCAATTATGGGGTATTTGGTTGGTGAATTTTTTTGAGAATGCTAGGAAAGTGGTAGATAACATTCATGAATGACCATGTTTGGTATAGAGTAGAAAAAAATTTCTTAGGAAAAAAATTTTGATGGAGACATTTTTGTAGTGTAAAAATGAAGGAAAATGTCCACTTGGGAATACCACCTTACAGGTGGTATTTTAATTTCCCCAACAAACTCAAACTTGTAGCAATTTTAAACCAAAATTTTTCCGGTAATATTTCGGCCTACCAAACAATATTTTTTTAACTTTCCCAAAAAAATTATTTTCCCACCATTTCTCCAGTAATTATATTTTTCTAGTAATTTTTTTTTCTTCTATCAAATGTCCCCTTACAGACTAAGCCTCCCATGCGATACCACGCCAGGGTTAATAGGGATCTATACTTAATAGGAAGGGACATTCTTTAATGGTTGTAGATTGTGTTTAGATGTTTTTGCCCTCAATAATTACTATAAAAAATTCAATATTTTTTATTTTCCTAACAACATTACTTGCAAGAACTCATTTGTTATCATTTTTAAATCAAGGTTGCTATCAATGTCTTCTTTAGTATATATTAAAAAGAAAACTTTTCATCGTATACATCTTTCGGGAGTGGGCAGGAGTTTTAATTGTGATTAAGCCCTGACTCGAGATTAGTCTTATAGTCAATTCAAAATTTTAAAAATTATTAGAATACCTAAGACTAACTCGTCTCAAAGAGATAATTAGGATTGGTATAAAAAAAACTTAATAATTGGGTTAATTTGATATCTTATTTATAGTAATTTAATATCTTATGGCAAATAAAATGTCATGGAGTGTTTTTATAATCAATAAGAAAATTGAAATACTCACCGCCTTCGATTGCAACTATGGGTGTTTGCGGTTGATATGCGTTCAACATATAAGGAAATCTAAGCCAAAAAGAGAAAGAATGTGATTAAATCTTAAGCAAAAAGGGCAATAATCACTGTTGATCTGTCAAATTCTTAATCAGAGATTGCATACTGATTTTATGTTAATTTCGTAGGAAAAATAGAAAAATTAGAGCTAAAGAGGAAAAGCTAAACTGAAGGCCCAAGCTCACAGCGTGAGTATGACGCTCATAGCGTGAAGAGAGCCCTTTCACACAGAGACAACCACGCTACTAGCGTGGGACTCACGCTAGTAGCGCCAGAGGTCCAAAAACAAGCAGAAGCTATCACGCTACTAGCGTGGGATTGACGCTAGTAGCGCCAGCCTTTTTCACAATCCACGCTTGCAGTGTGGCAGCCACGCCAGTTGCGTGGTGCTCCAGGATATAGAAGAAAAACTCCCACGCTGTGAGCGTGGGAACCACGCTAGTAGCGTGGGAGGTGCGGACAATCAACATTAAATCCTTTTCAAATCAGAGACAAGATTACAGTGAGATGCGGAAAAGATTAGATCAAGCTTCTCCACCAGGTCAAAGACTCTATAAATAGAGACTCAGCCCTCAAGAGAAAAACACACTTTTTGCACGGGAGAAATTGTGAGCGACAGGAAGCGGAGCGAGCTTTCGGTGACTGAAGATAAAGATTTCTTCTTTCATTCTTTCCGGTTATTTCTAGTTTTTATGAATTCTTTTGAATACTTTGTTTTGTCAGACATGAATATGTCTGGCTAGTTTTTTTTATATTGTGGTAAGGGTCACAACCATTGATGTGAACCCCTTGTATTTTGGTTAAGTTTATGGTTAATTATTCAATTGAATTTATTTTACTCTATTCTTCATCCCATAATTCTTTTAGAATTCGCGACTCTATTAGGATTGCGAGGGTTAGGGTTTACAATAGGAATATTGGGATTCTAATTCCTGACAAAGGGTAAGATAACTGTTCATGTATGCACTAAGGATAGGCTATATGAACTGCAAATGTGGAAAATTCACTGGGCTTAAAGATTAACTTGAAAAAGGATTTCTAAGGGATTTTGATTCTAATAGGGTTAATAAGGTTAAGATCACTAAGGGATTAGGGCTTAACTCATTAATTATAGATGGTGAATTATTTGGTCAATTGGATAATTAAAGATAAATATTAATCAATATTACAAGGTGGGGATCAGAAAGGTGTTGGAGTCCTTTACTGCAATAGTTTCTTTACAATATTTTCTCAACTCTCAACTTTTGATTTTAGTTTCTTCAAATTTCTCTCTGAATTATTCATAAATTATTGAATAGTTCACAATTGTTACAAACACCATTACTTTCAAATCAACTCTTGTTCATCCAATAAGAAAGGAATAGTTAAATTAAATTTGGTGCCTCAATCCTCGTGGGGCGATATTCTTACTCACTTTTTATTACTTGGTACGATCGGTGCACTTGCCGATTTTACGCAACAAGTTTTTGGCGCCGTTGTCGGGGATTGACTACGCCTAATTTATTTTTAACTTTTGAATTTCTTTATTGGACTTTGTTTGTTACTGACCTTTTTGCTATAGTTTATGTGAGGTAAAGTAGATCGAGATTTCTTACAGTTTGATCCAGAAATCGAGAAAACTGCAAAGAAAAATCGGAAGCAAGCCAAGCAAAGAAAGCAAGAAGAATCTTCAGGTTCAAAGTCGCACAAAGAATTAGTGATGGCAGCTAATAATCAACCTCCGCCGCCTCCACCACCTCCAGCGGAGTTGATGGAGTCAATTCTGGCTCCTATGTTTACAAGGCCGAACTCCAGTGTTATCCGGCCAGAGATATAGGCCAACAATTTTGACATCAACCCGTATCTGATTAATCTGGTGGAGAAGAACCCTTTCAGAGGAGAGGATTACGAAGATCCTCACGACTTCATGAACAAATTTATGAGAATCTGTGACACTACCAAGCATCATGGAGTGTCTGACGATGCCATCAGACTCAGGCTATTTCCCTTTGCTTTGACCGGAAAATCCCTCAGATGGCTTGACCGACAAGCTCCTAACAGTATCCGAACATGGGACGATCTAGCCGCTAAATTCTTTACAGAGCATTTTTCGCGGGAAAAGTACAACAAGTTGGTGAACGAGATCACCAACTTCATTCAGCAGCCGGGAGAGACTCTTTGTGCAGCCTGGACCCGATTCCAGGAGTTGATCAGGAAAAGCCCTCAGTATGACTTTCCAGACGGGAAGAAGGTTAGTGTCTTTTATAATGGGACGACACCGGATACCAGGATGGTTGTCAACAGTGCAGCCGGTGGAACCATCGGAAAGAAGACAGCAGCTGAAACCCTGGAATTGATTGATTACCTAGCACGGAACGATAATGCTTCTACGGCAATTCCTCCGGTTCAGCCAGCTCAACCCAATAAGGGAATTTTACAACTGGGGAACACTGACGCCTCATTAGCTGAGCAAAAGGTGATTTCACAGCAGTTGGCTAGTCTGAATGCCAAGCTAGATAGAATGCAAATCTCATCTAAAGTTAATGTTTTCAACTGTGAGTACTGCAAAGAGCCACATGAGACTAATGAGATCCCTACATACAATGGAGCTGAACCATTCAAAGTCAATGGAGTGTGGTATGATCCAAGGCCACCACAGGATACCCAAAGTTACCAGAGAAATTAGAATGGAGGCCAAGGGAACAACTTTCAAAGGAGAAATCAAGGGAGCGGCTTGGATTCTAAATCCAACAACTATCTGCAACCTCCTCTTCTGCCACAAAAAGAGCCATCCGAATTGGAGAAAGCGATGATGAAACTGGCCAAGACCACTAATGATCACATAATGGAGACCAGAGCCTACCACAAGAACTAGGATGCGTCCATCCAAAACTTGGAGAGTCAAATAGGCCAGTTGTCTAGGCAGTTGGCTGAAAGAGCTCAAGGATAGTTCCAAAGTGATACAATTGTGAATCCAAAGGCAGACTGCAAGTCCATTGTAACCAGGAGTGGGATTGTGATCACTCCTCAAGACAAGCCAAAATTGGTTCAGCATGAGAAAGAAGAAGAAGCACCTGCCAGTGAAAAAGAAGAACCTGCAAGGCAAGACAAAGAAGAAGCAAAGGAGAAAGTTGTTGAAGCTCCTAAGCAACCGATGGATTTTTCTCGTTTTGAGAAACCTCCTTATCCTATAAAGCTCAAGCAACAAGCACAAAAGCAACAGTATGCCAGGTTTTTAGATATGTTTAAAAAATTGCATATTAATATTCCATTTGCTGAAGCTCTTGCTAATATGCCTAACTATGCTAAATTTATGAAAGATTTATTGTCAAGAAAGCATAAGTTGCAGGATTGTGAGTCAGTAGCACTTACTGAAGAGTGCAGTGCCATCATACAAAAGAAGTTCCCACCAAAGCTTCAAGATCCTGGGAATTTCAACATCCCAATTGCGGTAGGAAACACTAATGTTGGCCGGGCACTATGTGATCTCGGAGCAAGCATCAACTTGATGCCATTGTCAATATGCAAGTCATTGGGAATTACTGAGTTGAAGCCAACCATGGTCTCTTTCAGCTTGTTGACCGTTCTTTGAGAAGACCTAATGGAATCATAGAAGATGTTCTTGTTAAAGTTGACAAGTTCATCTTCCCGGCTGATTTCATCGTGCTAGACATGGAGGAAAAGAGTGAAATGCCCCTTCTATTGGGTAGACCGTTCTTGGCCACAGCTCGATCTATGATTGATGTAGAACAAGGAAAGCTCGAGTTGAAGATAAAAGATGAAAAAATCACTATCAATGTTTTCGATACTATGAAGAATCCCTCTGATCATAGTGATTGTTTCAAACTTGAAGTGTTTGAAGAGGTGGTTATGGAAGAGAAAAGTGACTATCAAGAGCTTGAAGAAGAGTTGAAGGCTCTAGATGAAGCTGCTCCAGAAGAAAAGCGAGCAACTGTCTTTGAGGTACTAAAAGAGAAAGAAGATGACTCAGCTACATTGGTACCAAAGGTGGAATTAAAAGAGTTGCCTCAATATTCTGTTATCATCAATAAGGAAGTCCATCAGCAGCATAAAGAAAGCAAGCCAAATGTTAAGATGGAAAAGCCCAAGAGTAAGGAAAAGCATCTGAAGACTAAGTTCAAAGTTCCTGAGAACCCTCATCCTCATCCACATGCATATGATCATGGAAGGAAACAATACTGGATCAAGAAGATTGGGTCATCAATGGTAGCATGCTTCCAACCACCATAATCACAAGGGGTACGTCAGGCTCGTGACGTTAAACAAGTGCTAGTTGGGAGGCAACCCAATAGTTGTTTTTTTCTTTTTTTTTCTTAGGATAGTTTAATTTTTAATAAGTCAAGTAAGTGGTGAATTAGTGACCATATGGAAAAATTTTAAATCTGGGAATTGGCGCTGTGAGCGCCAATTTGGCTCTAGTAGCGCCACAAGGCCAAAAGAGACAGTGAGTTCCACGCTCACAGCGTGGTAACCATGCCATCAGCGTGGAAACCTCACGAAATACTCGCGCCAATAGCGTGTATTCCACGCTTCGAGCGCCATCAAGCAAAATGAGGCAGTGAGTTCCACGCTCACAGCGTGAAACCCACGCTGTGAGCGCCAGTTCACTGCACCATGAAATTTACTTTGGCATTTTATTTTGCTATTTTGAGTATTTTGTTGGATTAGTTGGTTGAATTATGTCTCTTTATGCAGTACACTTTGATGATTATTCTGTTTTACTGTTTAACAAGTGTGTGTGTATGTTCCACCTGGCAGAATTAGCTTCTTCGACCAGTATAGTTGTTGCTGAGGACAGCAAAGTTCTAAATCTGGGAATTGTCGCATACTGTATGCGAGGCTTGCTAAATACTGCGGAACTACACCACGGAAAGGACGTCTAAACAAAAAAATTTCTGAAAAGGGGAGATATTTTAACCTTCAATTTTTTTTATTTTTTATTTGCTGTTTTTAGTTAGATTCAATTTTTTTTTTTTAAAAAGGAGAATTTTTTTTAGAGAATTCTTAAACAAGCAGTTCCAGCATGTTCTAAGCTTACTCAGTAAATAATTAGATTGAGTTAGATGAAACATGATATCTGTGAGCAATTAATTGTTTTAATCTGAGAATAATGACTGCTCGTTTTTATAACTGTTTTGGTGAAATTTTTGATAATGCTTGATGTGAAACTTTGAATTGCGATTCTAGTTGAATTATAACTGTGAGGATTTGAGCCTAAACAGAAAATTTTCTTTTTGAGAGGCCTCACTGTAGTAGTTTCTAGAACTTGAACTGTTTCTCTGGCTTGCATGCATTACTGATATGATAAGAGCATTTTTATTCTTGTTAACTTAGAGCCAAACAGCCTACCCATAAGAATTTCCATCGTTAAGCCCCTTTGAGCCTTAAACCAGTTCATTCAAACCTAATGAAAATTACTTAATCCTGTTCCTCTTGACACACCTTGAGAGATTGAATGTTGATCAAAGAAGAAAAGTCAAATTACTTCTCAAAAGGAAAAGATAAGTAGTTGAAAAAGGAAACAAAAGACTGGTTTGCAAAATATGGCAAAAATTCAGAAAAGAAAAAAAAATAAAAAATAAAAAATTTGCAGCTCAAAAGAGAAAAGAAAGAAAACATCTGCAACCAAGGAAAGAAAAAGGTAGTGAAGAAAGGGAAAGAATCCCAAGTTTGTAAATGAGGCAAAGCCTAGAAGAGAAGGAAGTATTGTTAAAATCAGTATTTCAATCTCTCCAATCAGCTTCTGACCAAAAGATTCTCACCCCCAAACCAGGCCAAGTTACAACCTATCAAAGGCCTTTTGATCAGTCTATGCATGTCAAATGGATTCCTCATTCTTAGGAATTGAGAATAAGTTCAAGCCTATGGAATTCCTACTACACTGATGGATAAGTGTGAAACCCTTACACACTAAGTGTGATGAGAGTACATTTAAACTGATGAGGAATATTCAAGCTGGAGTTTAAATTCTTGATATAACTGAAAAGCATTATTGGGAGTTTTTAACAAAGAGTTATACATGCATAGCAGTATGAATTCTTAAGATATTGTGTTCCATGTTTTCACTGAATTATTCTTTGCAGATAACTTGAATCTATTACATTGCTGAGGACAGCAAAGTTCAAATCTGAGAATTGTTTGATATGCGTTCAACATATAAGGAAATCTAAGCCAAAAAGAGAAAGAATGTGATTAAATCTTAAGCAAAAAGGGCAAAAATCATTGTTGATCTGTCAAATTCTTAATCAGAGATTGCATACTGATTTTATGTTGATTTCGTAGGAAAAATAGACAAATTGGAGCTAAAGAGGAAAAGCTAAACTGAAGGCCCACGCTCACAGCGTGGGTATGACGCCCATAGCGTGAAGAGAGCCCTTTCACACAGAGACAACCACGCTACTAGCGTGGGACTTACGCTAGTAGCGCCAGAGGTCCAAAAACAGGCAGAAGCTATCACGCTACTAGCGTGGGATTGACGCTAGTAGCGCCAGCCTTTTTCACAATCCACGGTTGCAGCGTGGCAGCCACGCCAGTTGCGTGGTGCTCCAGGATATAGAACAAAAACTCCCACGCTCACAGTGTGGGAACCACGCTAGTAGCGTGGGAGGTGCGGACAATCAACATTAAATCCTTTTCAAATCAGAGACAAGATTACAGTGAGATGCGGAAAAGATTAGATCAAGCTTCTCCACCAGGTCAAAGACTCTATAAATAGAGACTCGGCCCTCAAGAGAAAAACACACTTTTTGCACGGGAGAAATTGCGAGCGACAGGAATCGGAGCGAGCTTTCGGTGACTGAAGATCAAGATTTCTTCTTTCATTCTTTCCGGTTATTTCTAGTTTTTATGAATTCTTTTGAATACTTTGTTTTGTCAGACATGAATATGTCTGGCTAATTTTTTTTATATTGTGGTAAGGGTCACAACCATTGATGTGAACCCCTTGTATTTTGGTTAAGTTTATGGTTAATTATTCAATTGAATTTATTTTACTCTATTCTTCATCCCATACATCTTTTAGAATTCGAGACTCTATTAGGATTGCGAGGGTTAGGGTTTACAATAGGAATATTGGGATTCTAATTCCTGACAAAGGGTAAGATAAATGTTCATGTATGCACTAGGGATAGGATATATGAACTGCAAATGTGGAAAATTCACTGGGCTTAAAGATTAACTTGAAAAAGGATTTCTAAGGGATTAGGATTCTAATAGGGTTAATAAAGTTAAGATCACTAAGGGATTAGGGCTTAACTCATTAATTATAGATGGTGAATTATTTGGTCAATTGAATAATTAAATATAAATATTAATCAATATTACAAGGTGGGGATCAGAAAGGTGTTGGAGTCCTTTACTGCAATAGTTTCTTTACAATATTTTCTCAACTCTCAACTTTTGATTTTAGTTTCTTCAAATTTCTCTTTGAATTATTCATAAATTATTGAATAGTTCACAATTGTTACAAACACCATTACTTTCAAATCAACTCTTGTTCATCCAACAAGAAAGGAATAGTTAAATTAAATTTGGTGCCTAAATCCTCGTGGGACGATATTCTTACTCACTTTTTATTACTTGGTACGATCGGTGCACTTGCCGATTTTACGCACCAGTGGTCTAGATTGGATCAGTTTTGGAAGCAAAAATCATTCGATCTAATTCCTTCGGTTTGATCATGTAATCATCCATTCGGTTTGAATTTTTTTCAAATCCAATCCAATTTTATTCGGTTTGGATTGAATCTGTTTTCGGTTTTTTTAAAAGCCTAAAATTTGTATGATGATCATTGTGAAAATTAGGGGTGTTCATCAACCGATCCAAACTGATTCAAACCGCGGTAACCGAACCGAAAAACTGAAAACCGAAAATCGAAAAACCGAAAATCGAAAAAAACCCGCATATTTTAATTGGATTGGATCGGTTTTCGGATTGGTTAATGAAAACCGATCCAATCCAAACCGATCTAATATATTAGCTCCCCTCTACCTACTTGGGTCTTTCCCCAATCATAGCCCAAAAATTTCTAAATCCAAGACCCATTAACCCATTACTAAACCCAAAAAAAAATCTAGTCACATCTCATCAACAAAATTTCATTTGCGTAAAGCTTCATATCTCATTGCCCCCTTAAAAAAAACTACATTATCGTTTACTGATTCTTTTTTATTTTAATTTTTTTTACAAAGTCAATATATATATATATATATATAAGATGTTATCTGCATAATAATCATGAAACAAATTTTAGGATTTTCAAAAAACCGAAAAATAATCCAATCCAATCCAATCCAAACCGAAAAAAATTGGATTGGATCGGATCAGATTTGAAAAAAAGTCCAAACCAAACAGATGATTACATGATCAAACTGAAGAGATTGGATCGAATGATTTTTGCTTCTAAAACCGATCCAATCCAGACCGCGAACACCCCTAGTGCAAATAACATATATTTTGTATGTATCGACTTTGTAAAGTTTGTATGATGATTATTTGTAAATGATAATCTAGTTTTCAATATAGTATAACAAAAAGTTGAATTACCATCTTTTACCTCCAACAAAAAATTTACCATGTGATTGCCTGAGATATAGAGTAACCCAAATTTTTATCCTATAGAGGAACTACTATACAATAATAACCCATGCAATAAAAATATAAGATGTATCTTACAAAAAAAAACATAACAGATCAAGCAGAATCCACTTTATCCAACATGATGGGTTAATGAGGTCTTGTGTTTAGAATTTTGGTATATAGTTTTTGGGCTATGATTAATGAAAGACAAAAGTAACTAGAGGGTAAGGTTAAGGAATTATTGGATCGGTTTTCATCAATCAAATCGAAAACCGATTCAATCCAATTGAATTTTGCGTTTTTTTTTTCAGTTTTTTTGTTTTCGGTTAACTTGGTTATCGATTTTTCGGTTCAGTCACCGCGGTTTGAATCGGTTTGGATCGGTTGATGAACACCCTTAGTTGCAACATTATGGATACATAAAGGAAATCAATAAAATTTGTTTTTTTATAGAGTTTCATGAACCTTTGTTACTTATTAAAAGCGAAGATTAAACATGGTTTCTGGAAAATC